GTGAATGCAAAACTCTTAACCTAAGTCATTTTCCTCAATATGTAACGAAAAATTGGCTTGCTCCTGCATCTGAAAGTAGCCAATGAAGGAAAATGTAGCCATATTCAAAACAAATTAATGAGAAAAGAGCAGCAGGAGACAACCACTATTGTTATAAAAATAAAACAGTCTAAAAAGTGTAAACAAATGGAAAGTGATAACCAAGTATTTCAAAACTACAATTAGGAAGATGGTAAAAATTATCAAATATTTAATCTTGATTTAAAAAAGAAAAAAGTGAATAAAGAAGCAAAGAAAAACATGATGTAATTTTTGAAAATAAATACAACATAACATTGTCAGTAAGAAAAAACCCTATATACTCATGAAACCAATACCCATTATTGACTTGTACAAAATTGTTTATTACTAGCATTGTGAGAAGCTTCTCTACCTTTACAAATGTATGCAATGAAATATTGATATGGGTTTTTTTTGTTTTTGTCATTTCAGATTTCCAGGTAGTTAATGACCTAATTGAGAGCAGCCAAGAAAGTCATGGTAGATACTTGTGGCAAGGTGTAATCCTCAGTGGGAACCGATCAACTGAGGAGAGAGTTGATTTAGGAAAATCATTTAATTTGAGTTCAAAGAATATTTTAAATCTGGTTATAAGTAATAGAACCTATTCAGGAGTGGGCCATGAGGAATTTAATGTATGTCAGAGTACACTTCTTACAGAGACTGATGCCATGCATGCTGGAGAGAATTCTGATAAGCATAATATAATTGGGAAGTCACAGAGACATCCTGAGAATCTAAGTCAGCATTCCAGGTTTCAGACTGGGCAACCTTTTGAATTTAGTGGAAAAGGGAAGTTCTCCAACACAGTGCCAATAATACTTACATATGAGAAGATGCATATGGGTGAGACCACCTGTAAATATAATGAATATGGAAAAGCCTGTGATAAGTCAGCTGCCATTGCCCAAGAGATAACTCAGGTAGGAAAGAAAACTTTTCAATGTGATATATGTGGGAAAATGTTCTATAAAAAGATTACACTTTCTCAACATCAGATTACACACACAGGAGAGAAACATGATGAATATGGCAAATGTCAGAAATCTTTTATTAGGACATCATATGCTACTTCATATCAAAGAGCATCTACAGGGAGGAAGATTTATCCATGTAATAAACAGGAGGAATTTTTCTATCAGAAGTCAAACCTTACTGTGCATTGCAGAATTCACACAGAGGAAATGTCCTATGAATTTATTAAGTGTGGCAATGAGTTTGATGAAAATTCATTTCTCAACGGTCATCAGAGAATTCACACAAGTGAAAAATCATATGAATATAATGAATGTAGAATATTTTTCTACCATAATTCTGCCCTTACTGTATTTCAGAGAATTCACATAAGTGAGAATCCATATGAGCGTGAAGAAAGTCAAATTTTCTACAGTAAGGCAAAACTCAAAAAACATGAGAGAATTCACATTGCTGAGAAACCATTTGAATGTAAGAGATGTGGAAAAACCTTGTACCAGAATTCAGACTTCAGCAAGCATCAAAGAATTTTTAAGGAATGTGGAAAATGTAACCAAAAGTCAAATCTGAAGACAACTCAGAGAATTCACACAGGTGAGTACCCAAATGAATGTAAAGAATGTGGGGAAGCTTTTAGCCAAAAGTCAGCTCTCCACAGGCATGAGAGAATTCACAAAGACAAGACACCATATGAATGTAAGGAATGTGGAAAAGCTTATAACAAAAAGTCAGCCTTCAGCATGCATGAAAGAACTCACCCAGGTGAGAATCCCTATAAATGTAATGGATGTCTAAAAACCTTTAACAAGTCATACTACAAGATGCATTGGAGTACTCAAATGGGAAAAAAACATTATAAATATAAAAAAGGTGGAAAAGTTTTAAACCAAAAGTCACATCTCAGCAGGCAGGAGAGAATTCACACAGGTGAGAAAACATATGAATGTAAAGAATGTGAAAAAGCTTTTAACCAAAAGTCATGCCTCACCATCCATCAGAGAATTCACACTGGTGAGAAACCATACGAATGTATAGAATGTGGAAAAGCTTTTAACCGAAAGTCCACCCTCAGCATGCATCAGATAATTCACACAGGTGAGAAACCGTATGAATGTAAAGAATGTGGAAACACTTTTAACCGAAAGTCAAACCTCAGCATCCATCAGAGAATTCACACAGGTGAGAAACCATATGAATGTATAGAATGTGGAAAAGCTTTTACACGAAAGTCATTCCTCTGCATGCATCAGAGAATTCACACAGGTGAAAAACCATATGAATGTAAAGAATGTGGAAAAGCTTTTAACCAAAAGTCATCCCTCAACAAGCATCAGAGAATTCACACAGGTGAGAAACCATATGAATGTAAAGAACGTCGAAAAGCTTTTAAGCAAAAGGGAATCCTCAGCATGCGTCAGGCAACTCACACAGGTGAGAAACCATATGAATGTAAAGAATGTGGAAAAGCTTTTAACCACACGTCGACCCTCAGTAGGCATCGGAGACTTCACACAGGTGAGAAACCATATGAATGTAAAGAATGTGGAAAAGCTTTTAGCCAAAAGTCGACCCTCAGTAGGCATCGGAGACTTCACACAGGTGAGAAACCATATGAATGTAAACAATGTGGGAAAGCTTTTAACCGAAAGTCAAACCTCAGCAAGCATCAGAGAATTCACAGGTGAGAAACCACCACATGAATGTAAACAATGTGGAAAAGCTGTTAACCAACAGGTATCATTCATCTTGCATCTGAGAGTTCACACAGGTGAGAAACCATATGAATAAAGAATTTGGAAAAACTTTTAAGTGAAAGTCTAACCTCAGCATGCATTGGAGAATTCACACAGGAGACAAACCATAGGAATGTAAGCAGTGTGGAAAAACTTTTAAGCAACAGGCATCAGAATTCACACAGTGAGAAACAATATGAATATAAGGAATATTGAAAAGCTCTAAACCAAATGTCAGCCTTCAGCATGCATTAGAGAATGTACCCAGGTGAGAAACCCTATGAATGTAATGGATGTCAAAGAATGTTTAACTACAAGTCATACTTCAGGATACATCATTGTACTCACAAACACAACAAATATTATGAGTGTAAAGAATTTGGAAAAGCTTTTAACCAAAAGTTAATCCTCAGGTGGCATCAGAAAATTCAAACTGGTGAGAAGGCCTACAAATGTCATAAATGTGGAAAAACCTTTAAAAAGAAGTCATCCATCTGGGTGCATCAGAGTACTCACACAGTAAAACTAATAACCATGGGCTGAGCCCATGGAGCACTCAGGAGAGTGCAGCGCTGGGAGCGCAGCAGCACTCCCGCCGTGGGTTTGGATCCTATATAGGGATGACCAGTGCGCTCACAGAGCTCACTGGCTGAGTGCGGTGTGGCCAGTCTCAAAAAGGACAAACAAAACAAAACAAAAAAACCTTATGAATATAAGAAACATGGTAAAATCCTTTAACTGGAAAAGTCCAATTGTCAGCATGCAGCAGAGAATTCATACAGGTGAGAAGCCCTATAAATGTACTGAATGTGGAAAACTTAAAAAGTCACACTTTAGAAGACATCAGGATATGCACAGAGAAAAAAAAAATCCTTATGAATGGAACAAATATGATGTCTTTTATTGGAACTCCCCTTGATTGACATAAAAGAATTCACACAGGGGAAAATCACAGTGAATGTAATTTGTATGGGAAAATATTGTGCCAGAAGTCACATCTCAAGATACATCAGATAACCTACATTAAGGAGACCTGTAAATATGTACTTGTGTTCAGGTATTGGGGAATGTTCTGAGGATTCCCTATTGATATAAAAATTTGCTGATGCTCGAGTCCCTTCTTCAAAGGGTGCAGTGTTTGTGTCTTATCAATACATGTCCTGCCATGTACATTACTTAAGATGTTGGGGAAAATGTGAGTACTCTGTAAATAGTTGTTATAGTGTGTTTTTTTTTTTTTTGTAGAATTGTTTCATTTATTTCATAATTGGATTTTTAAAGATTTTTGATAAGTAGTTGGTTAACTAAGCAGATGTGTAATACTCATGGAAGGAGGACTGTAATGAGTGTGAAAACATCTTTTCTCCAAAGTCTCAAGGCCGGCTATTGTTAGAGCATTATAGCATTGTGTTGCTTATAGCATTGTGCTCATGACACAGTCATGCCCCCATCATTACAATCATCCCCATACCAGCCACTCACGAAAAAATAAATAAAAATAGAAAATGAGTCACATCATGCAGGCATTAGAGAATTTTCACAGTGGAGAAATTTGGCGTGGATTAGACTGGCTATGTGTTTTCTAAATACAACCACTCTTTTCTCTTGTATACATAGCCTGCAGTTTGAGCCTTCTGTGATTGGGTGGATGACCATCTAATTTGGCTCTGTTCAGCGGAACATAGATATAAGTGATGAACATTACTTCCAGGCCAGGCAATAAAATAATGCCATGCAGTTTTTCCTGATTTCTCATGTTCCCTGGGACTGAATGAAGATGACTCCTGGGTGGAGCTGGGGTCCACAGGTGGGACAAATCCACCCTAACTTAAAATAGAAGGAATTGAAGAAACCAGAGATATTCCCACCTCTATCCCCAAACCTCCATTTATACATTATATAAGAAATTCTTTCTTCGTTGAGCCATTCTATGTGTGCTTTGTTTTGTATTACAAAACAACCAGCCCACTGCAGCTAATTGATTTTACAAACTTTCTGAGCAGTTACCAGTCCTTGTATATGGGAGGAGAATCCTGTGTTGTCACCTTTTATAACCAAATCGGTATATGGGAAAATCAAATTGTGGGGAGAATCAATGCAATAAATATGGGACATCGTATCGGGCATAGACACCTCATTGAATAGTTAAAATAAAGTTAAATATTCATCTAATCTTTAATGTGTCAAAGCCTTCAAGAAAATGTTCAACGTGTTTTTTGTCAGAATTTGAAATGAAAACTATCAATTTTATGTAATGAATGTAAATTTTGAAATAGAAATAAAATTAGTATCAAACCTATTTTTAACGTTTTGAGTGTATACCAATATTTAAATATGACTGGTGATACTGTCTCCTAGGGGATATTTGGCTTACACATTTTTGGTTGTCATAACTGAAGTTATGAAGCACTACTCCATCTAGTGGAAAGAAGGCACAGATGTCGCTAAACAGCCTACAGTGCTCCAAAAAGCTTCCTCATGTATGCAACATTTATGCATAAATGTGTTCTTCTTTAACAATTTATCTTAACGGAACCCAGCATAACTCTGCATATGAAATATGTACACTTAGTATAATAAATAGTTTGGTTTGACTTCCTTCAGGATTTTTGACCTTAAATGCCACTCTAACTTTGGTATATTTTGTTAAGTATATTAAGTCTAAGGTACAGCGCTACATAGGTTTTTCTTTCTACTCTCCTATTGTAGGTAAATTTGTATGACCAGTTTTTCAAAACTATCAAGTAAAGGTAACTTTTTCTAGCATTTGAAGTTAACACAGAACCAGTCAGTGGGTTGAATAGAAACATTTCCATGGGAATGCACAAAATAGTAAATAACTTGTCTGAACATGTTTAAACAGTTGTAAGCAATAGTATTTATTTTATTCTACTCAGGGAAAAGCAGTATCTGGAAGGGATATTTGTCCTTTATCCCTGTTCCTCATATTTGTAAATGGGGCCAAATCACAGATATGAGTGTGTACCACATGCACTGTACCTGAGAAATTTCTTGTGTTTCTATTTGAAGTGATGGAGTGCTGTTTTGTACCTTGCCACTAGCAGGTGAATCTTGACTCCACTTGTGTATTGCCTCGTGCATGGCTCTGTTTATGTATAGGCCTCAGACCTGGAGATTGCCCCAGAGCCTGTTTTCACTTAAGGAATCTCCTAGAATCTTTGGTGACTACCTATCTGCCCTCAGAGCCCTTGGGGTGGGGGAGACCCAGGACCCAAGGAGAGGTAAGAGCAAGTAAGAGAGTATTTTGGGTATTTTGAGTTCTTTTTATGCTTTAGATTTAGCCTTTGTCAGGTGTAAGGCTTGCAAACATTTTCTCAATCTGTAGGTTTTCTCCTCAGTTCGATATTTGTTTCATTTTCTGTGCAGAATCTTTTCAGTTTGATCCTATAAATTTCTTCTAATCACAGATTAGCTAAATTGAAGTTTTTACATGTGATGTCTATACTGTTATTCAGAGTATTCTCTAATTTCAACTGAATGTAAAATTATTTTGATCATCTGTCAAGATTTCACCTATAACACAGGTGTGGTTACCCCATATCTTATTTTAAATAAGAGAGGTTGAGATTTAGTTTTGTTGCTTGAGGCTTCAGACTGGCTGTAAAGCTTTTTGGCTATGCCTCATTCTTCCATTATTTTGTGGAAACCATGCTCAAGAGTCTGATAGCATGGGTGGGTCTCTCTCTTCAAACCCCACCAAGTTGCTGGCTTACCTGGTGTGGGTGCTTGTCAAGAGAAGGGATCTCTTTGTTTTTAAATCCATGTGTTTGGACCCAGGAGATTCACATTTTGGCTTCAGTCATTGGCCTTAATTGGGTTAATGCATATTGGTGGATTTGAAACTTGCATGAGGTGTACACAATTTAAGACCAGGTTGATTGACTTTCTGCACACTGAATGTATTAGGCATATTCCTTTCCAGAAGTCAGTTATATATCTAATGTCTATAAGAGAACAAACTACACACATCCTCAAATGATATTTCATTTTCTTCAGTGAACCAGTGGGAATTACAGCATGAAATTGGTTTGCTTTCGATCCCAGAGCATTGAACTTTTTTCTTCTTATTTGTGAGAGTCAGGTGGGGTCCAGAACCTCGGCCAAGACAGAGCTGGTCTCAGTCCTCGTCTCTCTACCTTGAGAGCCCCAAACACCTGTCACTTACTATGTATCATCATTCCAGTTTCCCAAGAGGTTGGAGAAACTCTGGCTCAGGCCAAAGGCAGAGACAAGCCAAGTCTTTATGAAGACTCAGGGACTTGGTGTTGGACCGACCTCCATCCCTCGCTCAGCACAGTCTTAGGTGAAGTGGGTTGCACAATAGGGTCTTCATTTCCCACAGACCCCCTCGGGTAAGGTCATGGTGAGGTGTGTCCTCCTGGCCTGGAAGGGCATCATGCTATGTACAGTGAGTGGCTGTGGGTCATTCTCCTCAACGTCTTCTAGGACCTTGGGACCTCTCTTTAAGAAGCCAGGATCTGGGGTAGGGGGTCTCCACTATCTCTGCACCCATACTAAGCTCTCTCCACCCAATCGCCAATGTGCCTTTGTGCCTTTTCCTTGGCTGTGTCCACTGCAGGAGTGTCCTTACTTGCAGACCCTTCTTTTAGGACTCCTGGGGACCTTCTTGCCCTCCTTCCTCTAGCCACATTTAGGTGCTGCTTTTGCTCCCTTTGACTGAAGTAGAAAACTTTCCACCTTTTTTGGATCGACTTCTTGAGTAGTTGGGGCTTGGGCAGGATCCTGCACACAGTACTTGTCAGCTCTTCCTTCACCTGGATTAAAGGGGTGGCACGGGAAGGTGCAATGGGGAAAAAATTGGGGAAGGGTGGAGCAGAGACAAGATGTAGTTAACAGACACAGAGACAGGTGAACAGGAGAGGAGAGAACCCCTCCACTACTTTTGTTGGTTTGGTGCCACAGGGTCTCCATGCCCACTTCTGCCATTGCAGCTGCATCTGTTGGTGATGCAGGGCAGTAGACTCCAGAAGCTCCTTTGCCTTCTTGTTCTCTTACAATAGCTGCCTGTGGTTCTGTGATAAGGGATAAACACCTTTTTCTCATTCTACCCTTTCCATCTACAACTATGCAACTTACCCCATGGTTGCTGCCTCTGGGCTATGAAATAAGAGCCCCTAAGTGATGGATGGTCCCCTGTCTGACTCAGGGAGTACAGCTCCATCTTCAAGGCCTTCACCTTTGCCTCCACCAGCTTCAGTGTACAGAAAGGTGCAGGTGATCAGGTGAGGAAAGATAAGATCCATCCTCCTACCCTGACCTCATGACTCCTGAGCAGCTTCCATCTGCAAATTAACTACACCTCCCAGTTTCATGAATGCTACAGAGAAGACTACCTGGATGTGCTTGTTTATACACCAAATTCCACATTCCACCACCTGTATAGATTGTATAAGTGGACCTGCCAGTAGGGTTAAATTTTGTCATCTACCTTCAACTCCCTTCCTCTGTCTTACCTACTCAAAATAGTATTTGCCAATTTGGAAGGTAGAAATGTGCAATGGGTCAGTCTTCTTAAGACGTTTCTTGTTCTAGGGGCTGGCCCATGGTTCACTTGGCACAGTGTGGTGCCAATAACACCAAGGCCACGGGTTCGGATCCCTCTATACGTATGGCCGGCTAGCTCACTTGGGAGAGCGTGGTGCGGACAACACCAAGGCAAGGGTTAGTATGCCCTTACCCGTCATCTTTATAAAAATAAAAAATCATTCCTTATTCTCCCTAATGTGCGTGCGTGTGTGTGTGTGTGTGTGTGTGTGTGTGTGTGTGTGTGTGTGTGTGTGTGAGAGAGAGAGAGAGAGAGAGAAATGTTACTGAAACCAATCCCAGATTTAGGACTCATTAGCAATATGCAGTAATATAACATACTCATTTATTTCCTTTACATGCAATAATTCATATATGAAAGAATTGTCTGTGTCTCTATCAGCTACATTTACTTTTGCAGGTGGGATATCTCAATATCGGCTTCCAGATGTTTAAACAGCTGAAAAGTAGGCCAATTGCAGGGGGCGCGCCTGGCGACCGTCCATAGACCCAGAAGGAGAAGGAGCCGACAGGATTACCCCAGTGTTGGGACCAAGGGATCTCGGGGAAAAGTGAGCCTGCTGCTTGCCGACCGAGCCCCATGAAAGAGACACTCAGACGCAGCAGGGGTTTTGTCAGGGCAGTTCCACTTTATTGCCATTACACTGCAATTAATATAAGCAAGCAAGTAGGGACTCTCCATGTCCTCACCAATCAATTAAAGGATCACGTGTGCATGCATTTAGTACCAAAATGTTGAGGATAGCAATCACGCAGGGTTCACGAGTGTGGAAATACTGGAGGACCAATAGAAATCCTTTAGAGCTATCTTGGGTTATGCCTCCCCTACTTCCTGTGGGCGCCATCTTCATCCTCTACCCATAGGCACCTTGTGGCTCACAGATGTTTCCTCCTAAAAATGGGCCCAACAGCCAATATGGATGGGGATATTGGATTCCTCTATTATCAATACATAATAGATCTAAAAGCAATCATTGGAATAATTATTGGGCTAGTTCCCTTTCACTACAACAAAGCATCAAGCATGACTTTCCTGGTGAGTCATGGAACTTTGAATTTGCTTCTTTTGGCAGGTCTCTTGAACAAAGTATGTTGTATCTGCTATTATAGGAATCTTATCTGCTATCATAGGAATCTTTGCAGGCTCCACTGCAAAGGCTGATTCTGCCCAACAGCATATTAACATTTCTAGTTTCGGTCTTCTCAGATGATAGAATTGTTCTTGATTATTAACTGAGGAAGGTGATGCCTTCATTATTGCTAATACTGCAAGA